GACATACATTTTTCAGTCAACGATTAAGTTATTACTTGTGGTAGATGTTCGGGAGAAAATTGTTACCATAGTGCTCCAATGGTAGATCAAGCAGAGGAAGACATTGATAGTGACATTAGTACACACGATGATTTATGATTTTCTATTTGTAAATGTTTTAAAAAAAAATTATAAATTTAATTTTTTTTAATAATTTTAAGATTTTCAATGTAAATGTTTTAGCAAAATAATAGATAATTTAATTATGCCAGTAATAAAATTACATATGATATTCCAGAAAATTAAATTATCATTGTAAAACTTGCTATAATATTTAAGGAGTAGTTTTTATAATTTTGTTATAAGTTTGTGATTAAGTTTGATAATTTTGTTGTTAAGTTTGATAATTTTTGACACTAGAAGTACTTTTCACCCCTATAAAATAATATAAATTTATTGACACAGAATAGGTGTTGAAACATGATAAGGTAAGCTTAAGTATACACGTGTGAAGGTTTAGAGATATAAACCAGAAAATCAAAGACATGATAAGGGAAAAGAACAGAGCCAAAAAGAGAGCAAAAAGGACAAGAAACCAGGAGGACAAAAACAAGGCAAATCGGCTAAACAGAGAAGTGAAAACAGCACTAGTAGAACACAAAAGCTGACAATGGGATAACCACGTTCAAGAAATAGAGGAAAAGGATCAAACATGCAAAACATATAGAGACTACAAAAATTACTAAGAAATTATAGAAAATCCATACCTCCACTACACGCTGAAAATGGAATTGTCTACACCATAGAAGAAAAAGCCAAGGTAATGAGGAGGACTCTCTCGAAAGAGTCTACATTAAATTATTACCAAGACAAAGATGTAGACTATCGAAGAAGTCGAGGAACAACAAGAAATGCCCGAAGAACCAGAGGAGATAATCACACCTACATCTCCTCAAGACATAAATGAACTAATTAAAAATAGTTCACCGAAAAAAGCACCTTGTCTAGATGAAATATTAAATAGAGCTCTGAAGTATCTACCAGCAAAAGCAATAGTACTTTTAACCAACATAACGAACGCGATCCTTAGATACAGGCTTTTCCCAAATATATGGAAGGAAGCTCACGTTATCATGATTCCGAAGCGAGAAAAAAAATACCATGTTTCCGCAAAACTACAGGCCGATAAGCTTACTTCCAGCAGTCAGCAATATCGTAAAAAGAGTAATACTAAGAAGACTACAAGCTGACACATACAAAATAGGACTAATCCCAGAAGCACAGTATAGTGCTTTAAAAAGAATCAGTAGGTTCACTCTTAGAATCAGTAGGTTCCAATTTGCAATCCACTCCTAGGACCCCGACACACCGTGCGCAATGGATTTGGTGAAAAATGCCGCTGTTGCAAGATTTAAAATATTCTATCAGTTTCAAAGAATATTCCAAATTTATAATAAAATTATTATTATAGAAGTTCTTCAAAAAGAGGAAAATAAATTTCATAAATAGTAAAATTCTTCACATACCCACTATACACACTTCTAAAGTTGAAAAATCATATTGCCTAATTGACTTAATCTATTCTCAAATAATTAATCATAAGTATCTATCCATTGATTGATTACATTTGGCAACATTGATTTTACCCAACCACGTGTTTGTGTTTATGCTGTGAAACTACAGTTATTTCAGTAATTTATATATAAATTTCATTTATTTGTTGTTATATAGTTGGTTTTATAAGTTTATTTCGTATTTAATACATATTACTGTGATATTTCTCCAGTTTTCTAAGTGGTTTTATTATTTTAAACAACGGATTATGATATGAAACTATATAACAGGCCTCCTAAAATCCAGCTTTGGTTTGATTCTTCATGCTTTAGTATTAAAAACAAAACTTAAATTTTAAACTTAAAAAACTTAAGCTATGTAACAAACATAACTTTCTTGAACCTTTTAAAACAGAATATTAAATAGCTGAGAAGATTTATATTGCATGTTAGGATTCGATCAATTAATTTTGTACTCAGCCTGAGGCCTTCTTTAAGTCAATAAATCAAAATTTGTCTTTAAGGAAATCTATTTTTACATATCATACTGTATATCATATCATATCTTGTATGTCGCTATATGTTCATTAATATTGAAAATACTGCGTAGTGGCCTTGTCAATTTTTTCTATCTGAATATATTCGTTATATCCTCCCCTTTCATTTGCCATGTGCCATTTGCCAAAAATCAAAATTTGTCTTATGGTAAATCTATTTTTATTCATAATACCCTATCATATCTCATATGTCGTTATAATTTCATTAATATTGAAGATACTGTGTAGTGCCCTTTCATTTAACGTATCACACGCTCCAATGCCGAAATGTGATTTTTTTCTGTCTCAACAGCATTTTTACTGCTTTTACTTAATTATATTTAATTTTGGTAGATGTTGGTAGTTCAGATTTCTTTCCTAGGTGGCGTAGTTACCTTACTGAACAAACAGTGTGACTTGTCATCCTAGCCTTTTATATAAATAGATTCTCCCAATTTTAAATGTACGTAAAACTATGAGCTTGACTAACTACGTTATGAACGTAGTGATCCTACAGTGGGATCTTTATGCTATATGACATTTTTTCAGTTCATTATTTTGTTATTATTAAGTTGTAATTGTGAAAATATATATATTCTATTCTAACTTGTATTCATAGTTCGCTACTTGTGTTTTTTATAATCCTATTTTTATTATAACTGGTATTGTAAAATTCAAATCCTGAAAATATAATTTATAATTCGATTGTATTATTATTTTTTCATCTATAGAAATTAGTTTTCTCATTAGCTCTTCGTTTTATGAGATTTCTCACCAGTAACAGTGAATACAGCGTGATTTTCTAATGAATACAAAAAATTTAATATTCGATTAATCAAAACTGATGGATTCAACATAAAACATTTTGAAGGACAAAGAGTAATAATTATTTGGAAACTATTGATAATTGTCGAAAACGCTAAATTTAGGAAAGTATTCATTATTCCGAAAATCTAATTAAATTTTAGGTTGCCACAAGTCACATTTTTCCTATTTATTTTCGGGCAGTGTATTAAAAATTATATTGAGCAGTGTATCAAAAACTGGAATTTATCTGCGCGAGGAGCATGTGCGCGTGAAAAAAATGGAACATGAAGAACAAAGGATTGGCGGTAGAGTGAACCTACTGATTCTTTTTAAAGCACTATACTGTGCCAGAATCTCAGTTTGGATTTAGAGCAGAACACTCTAATAAATTATAATAGTATTTAGACTGATAGAATACACAACAGCTGGATTTAATAAAAATCAGTACTCAGGAGCAGCGTTCATGGATGTAAGCAAAGCCTTTGACAGAGTCTGGCATAACGGCCTAATATACAAAATGAGAGGCTACGGATACAGATACTGATCTCTTCCTATTAAGTAACCGAAGCTTTAGGGTACGAATAGGACAAGTACTATCCGAGCATGGAGCTCCGGAGGCTAAAGTGCCACAGGGAGCAGTCCGGTCACCACTATTGTATATAATATACACCGCATCAAGAACACCAGGAACACTACTCAGCCTTTATGCAGACGGCACAACGATTGCGGCCAAACACAGAAACTTAGAAGTAGCGGTCAACAATCTACAGACAGCATTGGATAACATTGAATATTCGTATCAATATTTCGTATAATATATCATTTTCGTATGATATCGAATCGATGGATACAAAAAAATTCTGAGGTTTTTTACTATTTTTACAGTCATATCCTGGACTATCAGAATGACGAATGTGTGAACTTCAGCAGTTGATGTCATAATATATGCTCATAGTTCGAGAATTTTTGCGATTTATGTGGGAAAACTAAATAGATATGTTTTATAAATTAAAATGTATAAATTTTTGTTGTACTTCTGTCATTATGCTTTTCTTACATGTTTTACTATTTTTTCTACTCTCTTACTAGTAAATTGTATATTACCTACTATTTGGATGCTAAGTAAATACGTCAAAACAGATACTGACACGTAATGACTAGCACGTAATAAAAAAAATTACGCTTCAGTTTTATAAAAAATGTGTAACATCACATAAGCCTCGTAAGTCAGTTGGTCGAGTTACCATGGAAACGAATTAACAGACGTTATTTTGACAGATTAAAAATTATTAATATGTCAGTGTAAATCTAGTGGTAATTTAATTTTTATTTTTATAAACGAAAATAATCGTAGAAAAAGTATAGTACAGAACTTGAGTTGTAAACTTATTACATGCTTGTAAAATTACTGCGCTCGCCGCTACGCGGCTCGCGCGCAACTTTTTTACTCGCATGTAATAAGCTTCTTACAACTCTCGTTATGTAATATACTATTATGTTTTTTGCGAAGTTGGTATCTCCGGTAATTGGTGGTCAGTCTAACCCAAACTTGCGGATAACTTTTAATTCAAAATAAAAACATGTAGTCAAATTATAACGTAAAGTTAAAACTTATATACTATCTTAACCCTTCCAGTAATGCTTCAATAGATAAAAAATACATATCTCAAAAACCAAACAGTAACATTCTTCTCAAAGGTTTTTTTCAAAATGTAGTCGATCTCTCCCGGATACAAAGTATTTAGTGTGTAGTGTGTGTAAGTTATATACAATATTATTTATATTAAAGTAAAGGCAAATATCGATTTAACATTAAAATCTGAGTTATATTCTGAATGTAGAAATACAAAAAAATAAATTCAACATTTTTTTCTTTGTTTATATTTATTTATTTTTATGGGAATTTAGTAAAATGTATTGTTATCCTCAAACAATAGTTCCCACCTTCAGTTTAAGGTTTTATTCGCAAGTTTCTTGTATCCGTCTCTTTTCATTTCTTCGCCTACTTACTTTGGGATGTATCTTGCCGACGTCTTCCACTATCATCATCATTATTCGAGAAACCACTTTCTCTTTCTATCGGGAGCACAAGGTCGTTTAATTCAGCAAGAACATCAGGCAGCGACCGACTTTAGTATTACGCGAGGAAGTCACGGATAACGAAAATCTTCGTGTACCAGTGAACCAATAACCTTAAATGGTGGAAAACTGTGCGTTTTATTAACTGTTTTAAAATGTTAAGCGGTGTTTTCATTTATGCGACGTTACTCTTAGGATCCATCACCGCAACAGGTCCATCTCTAAGAAGTACTTCATCTGCAAATATTTTAGGTTATTATTTTTATTATTATTTTATTTAATAAATTATTGATATTTTAAACAATTACGAGAAAGTGATATTTAAAGAAAGGAAAAGGGTGGTAGTTTTTATATTTTAAAACCTACAAAACACGGATGTAACTGACGATAATTTGTTTTTCTCTTTCATTATCTGACCGCAATTTCATAAAGGTTGTCATGCAATCTCACAAACTGTATTTTCTATTATAAATATTATTTGTGTATTAAAACTTTTATCAAACACTTAAAAAAACTTATTTAGATGACATACTAATATAAGTGCGTTTGGGTACTAAATAGACAAAAATCAGTTGGTTATAGTTAGTCGGACCATTGGTTTTTGCGGAAATATTTTTGGAAAATTATTTATAATTAGAATTTGAAAATATGGGCAAAGCTTAACAGGCTTTATCTCGAAAACGAATCAAAGAATTTTAATTTTTTTATATCAAATAAAGCGTTTTCGTCTGAAATTTCGTTGTGTTAATTGACAATTGTATTGAATGAAATCTCAAAAACTCTATTAATCAAGATTTTCTACTTGTTTATAAGCAAAAATATTGACAATTCATTAACTGAATTTAATCTTTAAAAGTGTATTTTCAAGATTGTTCACTTTACACGTAAAAATTACAAGAAACCTGAATAATGCATTACCAAATCCCAAAAAAGCTTTAATTTTGTTATAAATAAATATATTTGTTTATAACAAAATAAAACTACATATTTTGGCTTATTTTTTAGACTTTTTGTAAAAAAAAACGCAATAAACTTGTACACTTTAACACAGTATGACAGACTAAGTCTAAATCGGGCCCTAAACAACATTGTAAATCCGGGCCTATTTTTCATTCATGACACATATTTTGCTTTTGGTAGTTTGATTTTAAAGCATATAGTAAGTAGTTCTATTTAATTATCGTATTTCAAGCGAAAATTGGAATGGTTAAATAAATTCTCAGTATTGTGTTTAAATTTGAGAATGTGGAAATAATATTATTTTTTGTAATAAATGACCACATGGATACAGGCAAAATAATATTTTCTTATAAAAATCTCTCTCTCTATTACTTATAACAGTCTTAAATTTACTCCAGTTACTCAGGCTTAAAATATGTAATACCTCCGAATTTTTTATAACTGCATCGATTTCTTTGAAAATTTCAAATTAAGCTTATCTTACCCTCCACTTCAAAAGTTATATACGCTCTAGGTGCGCTTTTTGTTTTTAAGGGGTGAAAACTACCTCTTAATCTTGTTTATTCGCATAATGTAAATATTGTAATGTGTCCTCTAATGTGAAAATTAATTATTCACTATTTTCAACCCTTAAAACTCTTTAAAAACCCTTAAAAGCTAATACTTTTTATAAAAATAATATGAAAAAAAAGTCATAGCAGCTTGAGACATTTCAATTACGTATTTAAATAAAATAAAATTAATACCCTAGTTATACAATAATACTTATTAAATACTATTAACTGGAATAGCCACAATTAAGATAAAATACGTTATTGACGTTTCAATTTCCATTCGGAATCGTCTCAAATACACAGTCAACATACTTTATTATTGGAAATTTTTAACCCTTACAACCACCCTTATGACAAAAATGAATTAAAAATGAATTAAAAAATATTTTTATCAGTTTGAAACATTTCTTGAGTGCATTTTATTTAACGAAAATTAATTTTTTTAATATAAAATAACTTGTTATTATAATTTCAACATTTTAACCCTCACAACCAACCCCTTTTTTAAAAAAATAATTTAATATGTTTTTATTGGTCTGAAACATTTCTTGAGTGCATTTTCTTAAACAAAAATTAATTTCTTGCTTATAAAATAACATTTTATTATAATTTCAACACTTCAACCATCACAACCCCCTTTGTCAAAAATGAATTAAAAAATATTTTTAACGATTCGAAACATTTTTAGATTGCATTGTTTGTAGACAAAAGTTAATTTTTTACTTATAAAGCACCCCTTTTGATGAAAATAAAATCCTTAAATTCTTAACTTAGACATGGACATAAATAGAAAAAATTTAGTTTATAATATATTACAATTTTTTTATTTTCCAAAAAAATAAAAATAAATAATATGTATATAAAACTTGTTTTATATATTAATATTAAATGTCTATTAGTTTCATCGAAATGCTCCAATGCTCCAAATTATATAAGTTTTTCATGCTCCAAAATTTATTCTAAAAAGTACTATTGGTTTTTTTACAATAACTCGTTTAATTTTAATGCTACAATATACATAAAAAACGATTTTACAGGTAATTTAACGGGCTATAAGTATAGGAATGTTAAAATGGTAAAACATTCTAAAGTCCTTCATGTTTAAAGGGTGAAGGGTCAAAGGGTCGGAGACCAGTGGTTCATGCGCTATAAAGCAAACTTCAACCAACTATATCTATGTTATTTTTTAAGCTACAAAAAAAAATTAAAAAATGAAAATTTTTGTTGAAAAAAAACCTATTTTTTTTGTATTGTGTCATCATTTACGTATCTTTTATAGTTTTGAAGTTATTATAAAAAAAAGATTTTTTTTAATATTTACAAAAAAAAACAAAAAATGTAATCATACTTTTTTGCAGAAACTGGGTATTCTAAAGTGGCTAAACTTTTGGATCATACAAAAAACACTAACATAAAGTGAATTCTTTAAGGAAAGTAATGTATTTCAATCCTAAATGAACATGACGTTAGTTTTATTTCGTTTTTTTACAAAAATTTGAGAAACTCATCGTTTTTTTGATCGTATCTCACGTACAGTTGATGCAAAGGACTTTTACCACCACTCATTTTAAAGGTCTTTTCCAGCCCTTTTAAAAATATTATATAAGTTTTTGTCGAAAAATGTATCCGTTTTCCGTTATTTAACGTTAAATACTCTTATTGAAAGACAAAAACAAAAACAAACCTTCTTCACCTTCTCCTTCAAACAGCCATAGCTCAGTTAATATTGAACTGAAAATATTCATTAAAAAGTTAATCTTTTTGTTTTTTTATGAGCTTTAATTTTAGTTGTTCCACTTTTTTTGATAAAACTCTTAGTTTCAAAGCTATTCTTAAAAAACCTTGATGAAAAACATGTTTTTTTTTAACGAAAAATGACACTTTTCAACAGCGAATAACTGAAAAAGTATTGATCTAGCGAAAATAATGTCTACTATATTTTTTGTTTGAAATTTGTCCTTCTATAGAATAGCGTGATTATTTTGAGTAAAAAATGTCTACCCTCGAAAAGGGGTGGCAAACACCCCCAGGGTGGAAGCGCACATCGGCACTATATAACCTTTTTTCCTTGAGTAATTGTTTATCAACACACAAAATTTCAAATGAATCGATTCAGTTATAAAGAATTCGGAGGTAAAAACCCTCAGTAACTACTGGACTAATTGTAATACTTCATTTTTCAGTTCTGCTAGGTTTAATCTTGTTCATAACATTTTTATTCCTCTATTAAAGAGTCACTAACATCACTATCATGAAAATTATTTTAAATTTAATGTTAATCACATTCAGTGAAGTTTCAATGTTTTGACAATTTTTTATGTACCTTTTTCAAATTATTTATCCGTTTTGTCATTAGCGTTGTTTGCTTGGAAAATAATTTACAGACCTAATAGTACAGTAAGTTGTTGATTTAAATATAGTCCAAACAATCTCATTTAACTTTTTCCTCGCTATTCATTGTTCAGAAGAAGGAACGCAATAGTTAATTTTCTTGTGATTTGTTTTGACCCTTCGTTACATCGAATAGAAGATGATTCCAAAGATTCATTTATTGATTTTAGAGGATTTTTTATATAATACTCTTGCATTGTGTCTGTTAAGTATTATACTAAAAGCAATGTTGTTTACAAAACTCTTAGTTTCATCATTCTTTTGAGATCATTTAAATTTATTTTTTCTTCTTTTATTTTTACTTTACAATCGGAATTACTTGGTTTTTTGTGTTGGTCTTTTTGCAGAATAGTTTCGGGCACAAATGATGTTTCTGGAGTGTAAACAGGTGAAATTGTTGTAATTGTTGTAAATGTTGAGGACGATTGTTTTAATTGTTCTCCATCTCTAGTTAAAAAATTTTACAACGTTCTTTTCATTTATTTTGAAATTTTATCATGATTTGCTTTTTGTTTTTGTGCTACATACTAAAAAGAAAGAAGCGAAATGATCTTCAATTAAATTTATTTTAATCAATATCACAATCACAATATATGGTATTTTATGATATATATTATTTTAATTAAATAATGTAATACTTTTATAAAAAGTTATATTTGTTTTAATAATTCGAAGATATTAATTAGTCCAATTACTTTTTCTTATGAGCAGCAGCTTTTCTAGTCTTTTGGTGAACTTGCCTTGGCGGTTTTTGGCTTAGGTGCAAGCTTAGATTTTTCGCTTTGGTTGGTGTTTTTACTTTGGCCTCTTCGAAAGTCGGAGCTGGGGATGAAGATGACGCAGTTCTGGGAGCTGACTTCTTTTCAACTTTCTTCGCCTGGCGGCTTTTCTCTGTCTTTAATGGTGCTTCTTTAGCCTTAGTCACTGTCTTTACAGATTTTGCCTTTTCGCTGGTAGCAGAATGTTTGGCGGCTGTGGCAGTTTTTTTCGGTTTAGTTGTTCCTCCAGCTTTCATTTTTCTCATGAACTAGGCTTTGTAGATCAAGAACACGATGAGATAGACGCTAACTTAAGATCTTGATGCTCATTTTTCCTTCGTTTACACCAACGTTCCAGTAGCAACTGCAGCTTTTAAATATTTTTTGATGAACGGTGTAACTTTTTCCGCATCTGTTTTGTAATTTGCAGCGATATATTTCTTGATAGCTTAAAGATAAGAACCACTTTTTTGGATTTTTGCCTTCTTTTCACTTTTGAATAGTGAAGGTGTTTGTGGCGTTCCAGATTCCGACGTAGCCGAAGTGACTGATGAATCGTTTTCGATATTTAAGAATTTCACAAAGTATT